TTTTTTTTTTTTTAATTTTTTTTTTCAACGTTTATTTATTTTTGGGACAGAGAGAGACAGAGCATGAACGGGGGAGGGGCAGAGAGAGAGGGAGACACAGAATCGGAAACAGGCTCCAGGCTCTGAGCCATCAGCCCAGAGCCCGACGCGGGGCTCGAACTCCCGGACCGCGAGATCGTGACCTGGCTGAAGTCGGACGCTTAACCGACTGCGCCACCCAGGCGCCCCAGAAACATATATTTGAATGTATCAACCAACAAATGTTGGTGAATGTTACCAGAGTGATAAAGACTCTGGAAACCATGTTCCTGAGAAACAGGTAAAGACATGGGGAAGTCTGGCATTAGAAAGAAAATTCATGGGACATATAACCTATTCTCAAATATTTCAAAGCTGCAATGAGGAAAAAGAGTAGAAGTAGAACCAATGGACACAGTTTTAAGGAGGCAGATTCTAGAATTCTTTCCTGATACCTGCTAAAACAGGAAGGGATTTCTCGTCTTCCCTCGCCTTCCCATCTTGCTGGAGAGGAGTTGGCAGCAGGCTGGCTGCATGGCTGTGAAAGGAAGAAGGAGGAGCTGAAAGAAGTCATATGCTCACTGGATCCAAGAGTATGGGACTGGGGAGTGGGAGGAGTGTTTAGGTGGTGGAAAGGCAGAGAGGGTGAGTAGAGGAAATGGCCGGCACAGTTGGGAGGTGGCTTACCCTGAGAAAATAAACACTGACTAAGTAAATGAATAAATTCGTGAATATTTTAAGAATGAGAGGCAGGTGTCTCACTTTTATAGAGGTATTTATAAAATTTCCAAGGGGGGAAGCTAGAAAGAACCCTGAGATCATAGATTGGGTCTGAGATTCCAGTGTGAATTGATGGCTTTAGAGAGAGGGAGGGACGGAGGGAGGGAGGAAGGAAGAAAAGAAGGAAGGAAGGAAAGGAAAAGAAAAAAAGAAAAAGAAGGAAGAAGGAAGGAAGAAATGTTTAAGAGTGATTAAGATGCTATGTTTGCAGCTTGCTCGCAAATGATTCAGAAAATGCTAATTATAATTGTGTCTACACATACATACACCATATATATATAATGCATGTATATATGACTTTATGTATATATATACATACATACATATATATAATATACATACATATATACATACATACATATATATACATACATATATATAATATATAATAGTATATATAGTATATATACTATTATATATTATATATATATATATATAGGAGAGAGAAAGAAGGAGGGAAAGATTAGCTATATAGATTGAGCATACACATGTGGTAGAAGGCTAACAATTGGGAAAACAGAGAGAAGGAGAGAGGGAGATGGTAGTTCTTTTTATTATACCAGCAAATTTTCTGTAAATTTGGAAGTATTTCAAAGATTTTTTTTTTTTAAATGAAAAAGGTTGCCTTGGGAAAAAAAGATTTTTTGAGATGTTCCAGCAGAGGCTGAGTAACTCTCTCACAGGGATATTGCAGAAAATTCTTGCACTGGTCGGGAGGTTTGATTAGATAATCCATCATTTCAAACTTAGAGCGTATGATTTATGAATCATAGATTGATGACAGTACAGTGGAGTGAAATTTGAGCCACATTTCTAGAAATTTAGAGGAATATTAAGATGTTAAAGAGAGGAAATATGGGTACCACGTACTTTGTGAAGGCTCTATTTTCCATTCATGCGCCCACCCATCCATCTGTTCATCCATTCATCCACCTATCCAACCAATTATCTAAGATACATACAAGGGAGTGTTTTAGACACCAGGTATATACCTATAAATAGAATACACTTCTCTTACCATCAGGTTCCTGGAGTGAAAGTACATAAAATGCAGTGATTTATTAAGCAAAGACTGAATGAGCCCACTAGTTTTTCTGGTATAAATTGGAAATTCTTTTGCTAGACATCTTTTTCTTTTTCTTTTTTTTTTTTTTTTTTTTACCCTTGTAGATGACTTTGTTTGAAACGATTAGTGAAATAGTCTGTTTCATATGAACATACCTTCTCTCTGTAGCCTACCACATGTGTAAGGCAATTGTGCTGTGTTAAAACCCTAATCCCATCTTTAATTAACTTCAGGGGCTCTTCCAGGAAAGGAAAAAGACATTTAGTTATTATGTCTCTTCTATCTTACAGCATCTAATTGTGCTAGGCAGGTAGCAGGGTCTCACCTATAAAATGTTAATAGAACTGAAGACTTTATAAGCTATTTCTGAAATTAACACTTAGGTTCAATGATTTAAGATCCATTTTTTCTACAGTGAAAGGAACTTGTCACATTAAAATAGAATGTGCCAGAACTTTCAATAGGCTACTTTGTTTGTAATATGTAGGTTTATACTAAATATAATTTAACCTGTTATCTTTTCAGAACATGTTCCTCTTATCACATGATATATGGAGCAAACTGAGAGAGGAACAAAATGCCTGAAATTAACCCGTGCTCAGATAGAATAATTAGCTTTTAAGTCCTATATTAACGAGAACATTTGCTTGTATGTTTTTAAAGTTGGGAATTAAATACAATTTTACTTTTGAAAAGCTACAAAATGCTAAGAAAGATAATGAGATTGAACCTATAACTTCTTGCTATTGTTTTTATTATACATATCCCCAGATTTATTTTTTACAGTGGAGGAGTGATGGCGCTCAGATTTATACCAAGACACTTTGGCTCTCACTAATGAAATATTATATATAATATATACATATTATATATAATATATATATCATATATATTATATATATATTTATACATATATATACATATACATATAATATATATATATTTCAAATATATATATATATAAATATTTGCTCATGCTCTGGGGGCAAAATAGAGTTGTAGAAAGAACAGATTTATGAAAATATTCAAAAGGCCTGCAGTAATATTTTATGGACAATTGTGGTATCATTATTGTCAATTAAAAGAACTTGAACCAGGGAGGAGAAATTCTTGGCCATTCTTTTTTACTCCTCAAGAGACAGGAAAATGTGCAGTGTGCTTGAACTGCTCTAACATAAGATCCTTACAGAAAGTTTCATTAAGTGATCTTACTAAGACAGAGTGTCTGTCTCTGTCATTGCAAGGAAAGTAATGACCTGTTCCTGGGTAAATCACATTATGATCTGAGTAATATGGAGAAATAATAACTTGGTAGCTCAGGGTACTTGTGATGGATGTTTGCTAGTGTCACTACAGGGGTAGAAACATTGATTGAATGAGAGTCTTTGGACATTCAGACTTATTGTTTATG